TGTTTTAATTTATCAGTGGGAAGTAAAATTAAACATTGCAAAGTATAAAGTATTGGACAAAGGAAGATAACTCCAATTTTAAAGATTACGTTAACAATGACCATGATGACATTATTGACATTTTTAGAACAGATATATTAGATTCCTGCACCTTGCACAGGTTATGTAATTTTCTTGACAAGCATAACATCATTTTGTAACTAGATATCTGAGCATATATTCCATTGATAAATTTCTGGAAATGTTCATGGATAGGCTGTTTAGAATATAGTGATTAATGCACTATATTTTGTGGGAAGCTATTTTGTGTACTGTGGATTCATTTATTTTCGTGGGTACCAATTTTCGTGGAAAGCTTACATGTTCGTGGATATTTGATTTCGTGGTTTTTCCAAAGTCAGCATACAAGCCTATACACAATTTTTAATTCGATGAACATATAAATTTGTGGTTCACCTGTTCCCACGAAATCAACGAAAATTGGTATCCAACGAATAATAATGAATTCACAGTATCTCAAAAGTAGTGATAAACCTTGGAAGATTTAGATATCAAGTCAATACCATAGGGTTTTTGATTGCATTTCATGCAATCTTTACCCAAAAAACCAAACACACAAAAGACACAAAGTACAAATCTGAGAGTACTGGCAGTACCTGAAAGCTAGTTCAAGCCAATAACAACTAATAAATAACAAGAGTGCACACGCTGAAATGTCTCGCCTTCTTTACTAATCATTGATATTATGTTGATAGTCCTAAATATAAAGCTTTATTACAACTGTCACATAAACTTAACACTAACCAAGTAAACTAAACATTGACCAATGAACCATGAAAATGAGGTCAAGGTCAGATGAACCATGCTAGGCAGGCATGTACAGCTAACAATTCTTCCATACAACAAATATAGTTGACCTATTGCTTAGAGTTTAAGAAAAACAGACCAAAACACAAAAACTTAACACTGAGCAATGAACCTTGAAAATGAGGTCAAGGTCAAATAAAACCTGCGTGACTGACAAATAGATCATAAAATATTTCCATACACCAAATATAGTTGAACTATTGCATATAGTATTAGAAAAAAAGACAAAAACCCAAAAACTTAACTTTGACCACTGAACCATGAAAATGAGGTCAAGGTCAAATGACACCTGTCCGCTAGACATGTACACCTTACAATCATTCCATACACCAAATATAGTAGACCTATTGCAGACAGTATAAGAAAAACAGACCAAAACACAAAAACTTAACTATAACCACTGAACCATGAAAATGAGGTCAAGGTCAGATGACACCTGCCAGTTGGACATGTACACCTTACAGTCCTTCCATACACCGAATATACTAGACCTATTGCTTATAGTATCTGAGATATGGACTTGACCACCAAAACTTAACCTTGTTCACTGATCCATGAAATGAGGTCGAGGTCAAGTGAAAACTGTTTGACGGGCATGAGGACCTTGCAAGGTATGCACATACCAAATATAGTTATCCTATAACTTATAATAAGAGAGAATTTAACATTACAAAAAATCTTAACTTTTTTTTCAAGTAGTCACTGAACTATGAAAATGAGGTCAAGGACATTGGACATGTGACTGACGGAAACTTCGTAACATGAGGCATCCATATACAAAGTATGAAGCATCCAGACCTTCCACCTTCTAAAATATAAAGCTTTTAAGAAGTTAGCTAACGCCGCCGTCGCCGTAGCCGCTGGATCACTATCCCTATGTCGAGCTTTCTGCAACAAAAGTCGCAGGCTCGACAAAAAATCATGTATCTGAGACTAAAATTTCAATCAGTACACATCCAATATCAAATGGATTAAGTGAAAAAAAAGACGTCATCAACAGTCAAGAGAAAAACATGAACTTGTGCAATGCCAAAATATATGTATGGATAGTGAATGTATGTATGTGTATAACAATAATATTTAGATGGGTCTTAATTTATTGATAACAAAATCAATAATTATACCAATTAAAGAACCTTAGTGAGCGCGCTCACATACCCCACGTCCCCACATTGTCACTGGAGAAATAAAATAACTGTAAGAAAAAAAAATTGTATAAGAAAAAAAAATTGAATCATAATTTCCTGTCGATATGCACATCTACATAGTATGTCCTTATTATCTACAAAGTTTCATGAAATTCTGTTGTGTGGTTTCAGAGGAGTTGCGATGACAAACTGTTGCAGAGGTATATTGAAGCAAATAAGTTCAAAGGCGCGTAACTCCTAGAAAAAAATTGAATCGTAATTTCCTGTCGATATGCACATCTACGTAGTATGTCCTTATTATCTGAAAAGGTTTCATGAAATTCTATTGTGTGGTTTGAGAGTAGTTGCGATGACAAAAGGTTGCAGTAGTATATTGGGCAAATAAGTTCAATGGGGAGTAACTCCTGGAAAAAAAATTGAATCGTAATTTCCTGTCGATATGCACATCTACATAGTATGTCCTTATTATCTACAAAGTTTCATGAAATTTTGTTGTGTGGTTTCAGAAGAGTTGAGATGACAAACTGTTGCAGTAGTACATTAAAGTAAATAAGTTCAAAGGGGCGTAACTCCTAGAAAAAAAATTGAATCATAATTTCCTGTCGATATGCACATCTACGTAGTATGTCCTTATTATCTACAAAGTTTCATGAAATTCTGTTGTGTGGTTTCAGAGGAGTTGCGATGACAAACTGTTGCAGAGGTATATTGAAGCAAATAAGTTCAAAGGGGCGCAACTCCTAGAAAAAAAATTGAATCGTAATTTCCTGTCGATATGCACATCTACATAGTATGTCCTTATTATCTGAAAAGGTTTCATGAAATTCTATTGTGTGGTTTGAGAGGAGTTGCGATGACAAAAGGTTGCAGTAGTATATTGGGCAAATAAGTTCAAAGGGGCGTAACTCCTGGAAAAAAAATTAAATCGTAATTTCCTGTCGATATGCACATCTATGTAGTATGTCCTTATTATCTACAAAGTTTCATGAAATTTTGTTGTGTGGTTTCAGAGGAGTTGAGATGACAAACTGTTGCAGTAGTACATTAAAGTAAATAAGTTCAAAGGGGCGTAACTCCTAGAAAAAAAATTGAATCGTAATTTCCTGTCGATATGCACAACTACATAGTATGTCCTTATTATCTAAAAAGGTTTCGTGAAATTCTGTTGTGTGGTTTGAGAGGAGTTGCAATGACAAGAAACAGGACTGATGGACTGTCAGACAGACGGACAGACGGACGGACAGACGGGTCAAAAACATTATACCCTCCGCAACTCGTTGCGTGGGGTATAATAAAATCAACATCATAGATGCCAACAACTTTGGATGCAATCAGTAATCAAAATTTTAGATGTCAGTAATTTGTGGTTTTTTTTCAGTAATCATAGTAATTTATTATTTTTTTACCATAACCATACTATAAACAAATAGATGCAAAGTGACGAGCAAGTGAGGAACAAAGAAAAACTAGACATCATTGAGATGGGAGCCATCTCTGTGGGCCCCGCTGTAAATAACAGGTCACTATTTGACTATTAAAGATGTTAGTGGTTGAATCTCTTAAAGCAGGTTACATGTGCTATTAAACAGTACACCGGATGCACTTTACCCTTAATTTTAGAAATTTTTTACCTTGAACTTTGACCTAGGAAGTTGTACAAACATTATGACCCACCGTTTGGTGTTGGCTAATATACATGTATATGTCAAGTATAAAGTATGAAATTATAACGGTTCTCTAGATATAGAGCGGACACAATTTGTTACGGACGGACAGAGGGACAGACGGACTGATGGACAGACTGATCACTATAGGGCAAACCGCCATTAGGCGGGGCCCTTATTATGAAAAGTTGACAATTTTGTTCATTTACTTGTGTAAACTGTGTTTTAACTGACTGTCAATAAAAGATTTAATTCCTGAAATGTCCCTCCATCACCCTCCCTTAGTTTAATTAAAGTCTGATTCTGAAGTGCCTGGTTAGTTGCTGACTAGGCACTTTTAAATTGTTTATTTGTATATATGTGTTCATAACACTTTTTGTTGGTGGATGTCATGTATGTTTTCAGAACCATTATAGATGAAAGAGTGGAAACTGAAAGATTTGGACGACTGTCAGTTCTGTTCTTCCTGACCGGACTAAAAATTCTCTCACTATCAGGATTACTATGAGGAATTAATAATATTCCAAGCATTAGCTTTGCAAGTTCTGAAAACTTCGAATTTCCATCAGGCCCTTTCATTTGGGAAATCATATTCAAAGATTTATCTATTCTTTCTTCTTCAATAATGGCAACCGACAGCTCCTCAGTTTGATACTGTGAAAATTAGATTTCAATTTGATATTTGACATGGTTGTCATCAGATACATGAAAATTGAAAACTTGTCCATAAAGTATTCCACTGATGAGAAGTTTTGGCTTGTTTAAAGTTTTATATCTACCACTTCAGCATGTCGTAACAAAGGGTCATTTAAAGGAAGTTTCTTAAGGATATAGCCAAATGCAGCCACAAAGTAAACTAGCACAGGCATAAGAATTTCCATAAAAAGTACTTTAATTTCAGCTCGAAATAGTAGCAATTAAGGTTGGCATCTATGAAACATTTAAAGATCTAATTACAGTGTTGAATTGGTTATCGTTTAGAATAAGTTTATTCAATGTTTGATAATTTAACCAAGATCATATCTAAATTGACTGACTGGGTGAACAACATTCATTATAAAATTTAGGATGTCCTATCCTTTTTGTAATAAATTTTTTAATATGTCTTTTAGTGTTTTATTGTATTTCTTATCAGGTGAAGACATATAATCCCATAATCAAATTGAGCTTAAGAGGACATCTAGTAGTTGGATATATATATTGATCTTGTTCACCATTATTCACTTACATTATATATAAATAAGTGCTGATTGTCTCTAACATTTTTTGTTTTTTTCTTATACAAGGATTGACATCAATTCCTCCATAAATGTTGACTTACTTTCACAAGAAGGAGGATCATGTGACCACTTTCCACCAGTCTGACAATATGTTGTTTCATTTCCATACGTTTCATAGCCAGGATCACAAACATACTGGACAACAGAGGCAAATTCATTCTCATCTCCAATCAGTCTTACTATGTCGCCATTTCCAGGAGTTGAGAGAGGAGGACATGTGGCAGCTTAAAAAAGAACATGAAACACAACATTGTTAACTTTAAGAGTATATAAAAGAGAGAATATGTTGTATTAATTCATGACACACTTGACTACATGCACATAAAGAAAACTAAAGGCTCTAAAGAGCATGTGTCGCTCATCTAGGTCATGACAAAAATTTCTTTTTTGTTGATCTTGTATTGCTAATCATTTTGTCTGATTAGTTTCTCTCTATCTTCTTTAGTCTTTGCTCAAAACACAAAAGAGGGTAAAAAAAACATTATTTAAGGGCAATCACTCCTATGAAGAGTGAAAGTCTACAAACTACATCAGCAGAATTTGAGTTGTTTATGGATCTTGCCTGGCTGATCTTTTTTGTTATTCAAAGTTTCAATTTATCAATTAGAATTTTTATCATATAAGGCAGCACACCAAAAAATTGGTAAAAATTGTAATTAAAGGGCAATAACTCTAATAAAGAGTAGACTGACGATTTCCTACATGATAATTATTTGTGGAACTTGTCTTGCTGATCATTTTTTCTTCTTAAAATTTCTATCTATCTATTATAGTTTTCAAGATAAAAGGCTAAAATGAAGAAAAAAAATTGTCATTTAAGGGCAATAACTCCTACCAAAGTCGCCTGACAGTTTTGACATCAATAAACAATTGGTAGAGTGAACATTTTTGCCCCAGTCAGATTTTCTCTATTTATAATGATTTTCAAAATAATAGACAAAACTTGCATTTTACCCCTTTGTTCTATTTTTAGCCATGTCAGCCATCTTGGTAGGCAGGCTGGGTCATCGGACACATTTATTACAGTAGATACCCCAATGTTAACGGACCCCGGACGCAGACGCCGGATGCCAAGTGATGAGAAAAGTTCACTTGGCTAGCAAATACCACAGTAGATGGAAAATACCATGTCTAAAAATAACGCGACTTCAGAAGACCTCTAGACTTTTCATTGAGATGGATACAAAGAGCATTCGGTGAAATTAAACAATTATATCATGTTTACAAGGAGTATTTGTCAAAGCATGATATATTTGTAAATAATTTCATAAAAAAAAAAGATCTTGGAATTATTTTATGTCGAAATTCTTCAAGATAAAGATTTTACTATAAGAATCATAGTAAATTTAACATTATCCGAGTTATTACTGAAATTTATTTACCTGTACAATCTGGTGCTTTTTCCCAGTTTCCGTCCTGCAGACATTTTATGACTGGTTCCCCGTTCATAGTAAAGCCATCATTACATTTGTATGTAACATTATTGTCAACCTTTACACCAGATGACTCAACAATGTATCCGTTATTTACTGCTGGGGGGATTGGACAATATGTAACTACAATATATATTGAATATGTTCCTTTATATGAAGGGATAAAAGTTTTGAACACGTTGAAATCTGAGTTTCATGACCAGTATGCCATCTGTATATATAATGGCTTTATGAACAAAAATTCACATTAAAGTCATTGACAGTATGTCTTGTATTCAAAGACTTTCTAAACAATCAATGCCATGATAAAACACACAAAAAGTCTTGTACATCCCATATGTTAATACAAATTTCATCTGCATGTGTTAAATAATTAATATTTTAAGGTGTTTTTCACAATATTGCCCTACAAATTATTCCATTTACAATCTATTGTAAAGTAACTACAGATATTTAAAATAAAACATAAATAAGATCCAAATAAATATTATTTTTTTAAGAATCAAAAGTTTTCAATAAATTGTACAGATTGTAAAGTATTTAATTCATCATTTTTTACTTCAAAATAACATTAACCCACCAGATCTTAATTTCATTATTCTTAAATTTCTTACTCATGCAGTTAGGAATCCTTGTTTCATTCCACTGTCCGCCTTTCTGACATTTGATGGAGTGGACATTAGAATGACCTTCATTCTCAAATGAATAACCGTCATCACAACTCAATACTATTGTATTCATGAAGCTTGTTTCATATCCTGACTGCGAACTGTGTTGTGTTTCGTTCGATACAGCTAACTCTGCACAGTCTAAAAAAAAACCCCAAAAAAACATACAAAATAGAACAGTTAACCCCTGACCCCACTTTCCTTTTACTACAGTAATTTCTAATAGACCCTGTATGTACATCAGCATAAGATCAAATCTGTTTTACAGTTAACCAAACCTCTGCTTTAAGAACAAACAGTAATCATTTTGGTAATCCAAAATGCATGCATAAATTGCTCTACATTATTCCAATGAAATTTTTTTTAAATTTCAATTTCAATATTTCTCAAAGGACTGCAATTTGCAGTTCGTTTATCCTAGTTTCGTCATTAATACAAAATTGTTTCCCCTCGTACAGTTCGCATTTTAATTTCAATATTTCTCAAACAATCCAGTTTGTTTGTCGTAGTTTAGTCGTATGGACGTATTTTCGTCATATTTGATATAACTTTTCATCAAAAAATTTCGACAATTTCGATTAAAAAGATAGAACATTTTTATTCAAAACGTTCAGAAATATTTTCACCAGTCAAACAGGTGCTTCCTTTATTGTGTACTGCGCATGCGTGAAAGTATTCTTATAAATTTGTAGACACTAAAACGTAAAATACGAAATCCTTTAGTATCAAATTAAACGAGAGACAAAGATATTAATTACTAAGCAAAAAAAAATGATAATTTTCTGCCTTTTGTTAACCACGAAACCAATCCGTAGATGAATCCGGAATCATTCTGAATTTATTATCTACTTCCTGTTTTCATTTCGTTTAAAAGTAGAAAGTAAATGTGATTGATTAATTTACAATTTACAGCCATAACAATCGTTCCATTAAGGATTGATACAAATCCTTGTTTCCAACTTCAAAGAAATGAATTTCAAATTTCGATTTAAACATCTTTACAAGTTCATTTATGGGAATTGTGCTGTGGTTTAAAAAAAGAGGCACCCAACTTTTGTTGATCAGGAATGTCCCCTGCAAATACCTGAAGTGAAATTGTGAACAAGATTTCCAGATCCCTGTTCTTATCTTCATATTTAGGTATCACATTTAGTCAAATCATGCAATGACTGCCTACATCAGCAGGCCTTAGGCCTACAAAGGTCCTATTCCTTGAAGGACTTGGGCATATGTAAAGCTAGAAATATACGTCCTTGATTCATTGCTGTTACCCAAAATCAGGTTAATTTTCATCTGTAAAAGTGACTAAAGACCTCAAAATCCTAGCTGAAACCCTGGGCATAACTCTAGAACGGTTAAAGTGATGCCAACAAAATTCAAACTTGATCTGTGTTTTGTGGTAATAAGCATTGTGTATAAGTTTCATAACATTTGGTTGAGGCAAACTAAAGTTAGAGAACAGAAACCAATTTTGGGACGTACGTACGGACGGACAGATGGACAAGGGTAAAACCTAATGCCCCCTCCGCTACGGTGGGGCATAAAAAGTATTTGATGAATGGTTCATAAATTTTGAACAGAAACAACTAAAGCTTCCCACCAGAACAACTGCATGTGTGTCGTCCCAAAACAATAAAACCAGGTGTGTCTGAGGAACTATCAATGATCCTTTCACAAACACTCTCTTTGGAGAGTGAAAATTAATTCATTGTAAAGACAAATTTTGAAAGAATCCATACAATTAAATATTATTAGTAGTTATCTTATATGATTAACACCAATATAACAAACAGGAGATTCTTTTACTTTAAAATAGGTCCCAAGTCATAAAGACCTATACAAAACTATCCCTTACCCATATATAACCTTATCAATATAACAAAAAGGAGATTCTTTTACTTTAAAATAGGTCCCAAGTCATAAAGACCTATACAAAACTATCCCTTACCCATATATAACCTTAACATCAATATAACAAACAGGAGATTCTTTTACTTTAAAATAGGTCCCTAGTCATAAAGACCTATACAAAACTATCCCCAACACATACATAACCTTTACATCAATATAACAAAAAGGAGATTCTTTTACTTTAAAATAGGTCCCAAGTCATAAAGACATATACAAAACTATCCCTTACCCATATATAACCTTGTCAATATAACAAAAAGGAGATTCTTTTACTTTAAAATAGGTCCCTAGTCTTAAAGACCTATACAAAACTATCCCTAACAAATACTAATAACATTAGCCCTAAACAATACCTTATCCCAATAGTAACCGACCCCTAATTGTAAAATTCTGACCTATCCCCAACAGTTGTCTGAACCCTAACCTATCCTTAACTTTATCATTCGCTTCCATATATAGAAACATAGAATCTGTAACCAGTTTGAACACAGTGTACCAATTTTTAAATTCCACTACACTTTTATTCAGAATGTTAGTTTAAGACAACTTTCCTAAGATATAAATCCAACTGGGAACAATAGGAATAGTTTTAACCATTCATTGAGCTCCACTCTGTCTTGCCTTCCTCTATAAGGACAAAACCACCAATAAAACAAAATAATCTGTTTCACAACATTAAAACACAAATATATATTGTAAAATATCAGCTAGACACAATGCAGGGGTTCAAATTAGCAGAAGTCAGATGTTCGTGACCTTCTATTTTCAAGTTCAAACCTTCCCGCTGGTAGTAAGTTACACCCAACAGACTTTCTCATTTTGCAGGTTTAAAAAATTCCAAAAGCATTTGAATAAAATCTACAAATCTAGTATAATTATAAACTTAAAATATGTAAGTAACTTAAATGAAAGAAAACTTGTGCGTTTGCTTTTTAAATTCTTCACAATTGATTTGATGTGAAGTCAGGTGACCTGTCGTTGTATGAGATACCGGGAAACTCAAGAATATATAATTCAAACATAACAAGTAAAATGTGAGTCTTTTTTGTTTTGGGGTGACCTCTACCAAATGAAAACTGGACTTAACAGGTGAAACAGCACAGGTGACTGATGAAACACAGCCCAAAAGACAGGATCTGACTAAAAAACCCAAATATGACATTGAAAAGCAAGAATGTAATTTGTCCTTGGTTGGATTTCGATGAGGCAACTGGTTAAATGTCGTGCAAATATTGAGTAAAATAACCCACACACAAAGAAAGGGAAAGTGCCCTGGGTCGTGGTACAAAGAAGTTAAAATTTGACCCCAATAACAATCATGAAATTAGCTCCCAGCATTTATCCATTTTGAATATTTAAGAACTTCTAATGGCCATGTAATGACAATGAGTCACTTTTATTATCATTTATCTATCTTCATATTTACAATACTAGATGCTTTGATTTATTTGAGATTAAATAAAGAAAATCAGCTTATGAACTTTATTCACTTGTTGTTTATGCTATCAAATGATATTCTAATTGAGAGAAATGCAGTATTTATTTACATAAAGATTAAACATGTAATATTACAAGAGGGCACACGCTGAAATGTCTCACCTGATTTACTATTCATGATTTATTTTATGCTGATAGTCCTAAAGATACTCCATACAATCATTCCATACTTCACATATAGTTGACCTACTCCTTAAGTATATGAGAAACAGACTTAATCACTTAACTTTAACCTTGATCACTGATCCATGAAGTGAGGTCAAAGTCGGAGGATCTCTATCTGACAGATATGTAGACATAGAAAGGAACCCATATACCAAATATAGTTATCTTATTTCTCATAATAAGTGACTATAATTTTTTTTCAAGCAGCAGCTGAACCATGAAAATGAGGTCAAGGACAATGGACATGTGACAGATGGAAACTTTGTAACATAAAAGAGGGATGAAAGATACCAGAGGGACAGTCAAACTCATAGATCGAAAACAAACTGACAAAGCCTTGGCCAAGGTATCTGCATATTTTTCCTGAAATATAATGCTTTATACAAATAGTTTATATCGCCACCATAGTAATCCCAATGTCTGGCATAAAGTTGCAGGAGAGACAAAAAGCAGTAAACTCAGATTTTCACAAAGTAAATACACACCTTTAAATAAACAAAAGAACAGACCTTGCTTAGATTACCTACATTGCCAAAACATTACATGCATGGTTCCTTTTGGCTTTTAGATACTTTTATAAACAGTAAGACATGATGAATGCTTTAGAAGGGTAATCATTTTCTGTTTTTAAAATTGGACCTTCTAAGAATGAAGGAGGACCTGTTAGTCTTTTGGTCAAAGGTCCAGGACCTTCTGTTGCCTAAAGTAAATATGAGCCCCCACAATTTTTCATCAAAATCCTTCATATTTTGACTCACTGATACTATGTTCTGATATTTACATACATAAAAGAGGGACGATAGATACCAGAGAGACAGTCAAACTCATAGATCGACAACTGACAACGCCATGGCCAACCTGATGATCTATAGTTACTGGTTGACAGGCATATATGAGCCTAATAATCTTACCAAAGGATGTAAAAGCTGACAGCTATATAATTAAGTTTTGGTTAATTTCTATACTTTACCTAAAGAAAATTCAGCTTCAAATCCACTATCTGTCAGAACATAGTTTGTAGTAAATACCAGTTTGATATAACCATTAGTTGATCTAACCTCAAAATCATTTGTCAGATCAGTTGTCCCTGTGAATCCTTCATCTGTATGCAATGCTTCACTTGTGTCATTATATATCTGAAAAATACATAAATAAAATACTGGCATTATAAAAGAGCTCTTCTATAAAAAAAAAAAAATATGGCTGTTTTTATTGAACATTTTTCAATCACTGACACATATTTTCAGTATATAACATTAGAATTTTTCTGCATATATCCCTTCTTCTTAATTCAAACATCAGTGCCTTTAAAGACTACCAAAACATTTTTCAGAATCAGCCAGGGTTGCCACTCTTTTCAGACAAGAAATTCAAGGGTTTTTCCTGGATTATCAGTAGTTTATAAGGATATCGGTTCTTGCATTGCGGTTGAAATTGAGCTTGATAAATAACATTGCAAAACATTTCAAGACAATTTGCATCAAGCGTAATCGACATAAGGATTCACCTTTATCAAGTGGCCCCATTCATATCGTCCCATGAAAAGCGCTCACGAGTTACTGTTTAATATACGGGTACCAATTTTCGAGGGACAAATCAACAATAGGTAATTCAAACTTGTTTTTAAACTTCTGGTATTTTAACTATCAAGGATTTCCCCCCATTTTTCGTTTTTCATGGCCTTTTCCCTCCAGGAACACCTCAAAAAAAATTCCTGGCTTTTCCCATTTTCCACAATGCTTGGCAACCTTGATCAGCCCATATACACAGCTATTTTTTCCCCCTTTTTTACTCATAGCTCATAGCAACAAAAGAAATATTTCTGTCTTTTGAAAAAGCATGAGACCATACCAAAACTAATTTAGCTTATTTCAACTTAGACCTTAGCACAAACTTATCAATTAAAACTAAACCTAATTTAAAATGGAAGAACCTTAGTGAGCGCGCTCACATACCCCATGTCCCCACATTGTCATTGGAGAAATAAAATAAGTGTAACAAAAAAAAATTGTATCAGAAAAAAAAATTGAATCATAATTTCCTGTCAATATGCACATCTACATAGTATGTCCTTATTATCTACACAGTTTCATGAAATTCTGTTGTGTGGTTTGAAGAGGAGTTGCGATGACAAAAGGTTGCAGGAGTATATTGGGCAAATAAGTTCAAAGGGCGTAACTCCTGGAAAAAAAATTGAATTGTAATTTCCTGTCGATATGCACATCTACGTAGTATGTCCTTATTATCTGAAAAGGTTTCATGAAATTCTGTTGTGTGGTTTGAGAGGAGTTGCCATGACAAAAGGTTGCAGTAGTATATTGGGCAAATAAGTTCAAAGGGGCGTTACTCCTGGAAAAAATTGAATCGTAATTTCCTGTCGATATGCACATATACATAGTATGTCCTTATTATCTGAAAAGGTTTCATGAAATTCTGTTGTGTGGTTTGAGAGGAGTTGCGATGACAAGAAACAGGACTGACGGACTGACGGACGGACGGGTCAAAAACATTATACCCTCCGTGACTCGTTGCGTGGGGTATAACAAGAGTGCACACACTAAAATGTCTAGCCTTCTTTACTAACCATTGATATTATGTTGATAGTCCTAAATATAAAGCTTTACTACAACTATCACATAAACTCAACACGATCAAAGAAAATGAGGTCAAGGCCAGATAAACCAAACGAGCAATACATGTACACCTTACAATCATTCAATACACAAAATATACTTGACCTATTGCTTATAGTTCCTAAGAAACAGACTTAACCAAGAAAACTAAACATTCATGATTGACCAATGAACCATGAAAATGAGGTCAAGGTCAGATGAATCATGCCAGGCAGACATGTACACCTTACAATCAATCTATGCATTAAATATAGTTGACCTATTGCTTATAGTATCTAAACTAGAGGCTCTCAAGAGCCTGTGTCGCTCACCTGTATTTACTGATGCTTTGGAAATCATGTAAAATAAGGTTAAAATCATAATTAATAGTATTAGATATTAGATATTATAATGATATCTAAGATAATAACAAAAAACTGCAAAATTTCGGTAAAATTACTAACTAGATACCCTATTAATGATTATGGCCAAGTATGGTTAAATTTGTCTCAGTAGTTTCAGAGAAGAAGATTTTTGTAAAAGATCACAAAAATTTACAAAAAAATTGTTAAAAATTGACTATTAAGGGCAATAACTCCTACAGGGGTCGACTGACAATTTTGGTCATGACAACTTATTTGTAGATCTTACTTTGCTGAACATTATTGCTGTTTACAGTGTATCTCTATCTATAATAATATTCAAGATAATAACCAAGAACTGCAAAATTTCCTTAAAATTACCAATTCAGGGGCAGCAACCCAACAACAGGTTGTCAGATTTGTCCGAAAATTTCAGGGCAGATAGATCTTGACCTGATAATCAGTTTTACCCTTTGTCAGATTTACTCTAAATGCTTTGGTTTCAGAGATATAAGCCAAAATCTACATTTTACCCCTTATGTTCTATTTTTAGCAATGGCGGCCATCTTGGTTGGTTGGCAGGGTCATCGGACACATTTTTTAAACTAAATACCCTAATGATGATTGTGGCCAAGTTTGGTTAAATTTGGCTCAGTGGTTTCAGAGGAGAAGATTTTTGTAGAAAGCTAACGACGACGGACAATGACGACGACGCCGCCGCCAACGACAGACGACGGACGCCAAGTGATGAGAAAAGCTCACTTGGCCCTTCAGGCCAGGTGAGTTAAAAACAAACTTAACAAAGAAAACTTAACATTGACCAATGAACCACCAAAATGAGGTCAAGGTCATATAATACCTGCCAGACAGACATATACAGCTTACAATCCTTCCATACAACAAATAAAGTTGACCTATTGCTTATAGTTTAAGAAAAACAGACCAAAACACAAAAACTTAACACTGAGTAATGAACCGTGATAATGAGGTCAAGGTCAAATAAAACCTGCCAGACTGACATGTACATCATAAAATATTTCCATACACCAAATATAGTTGACCTATTGCATATAGTATTAGAAAAAAAGACCAAAACTCAAAAACTTAACTTTGACCACTGAACCATGAAAATGAGGTCAAGGTCAGATGACACCTGCCAGTTGGACATGTACACCATACAATCATTCAATACACAAAATATAGTATACCTATTGCATACAGTATAAGAAAAACAGACCAAAACACAAAAACTTTACTATAACCACTGAACCATGAAAATGAGGTAAAGGTCAGATGACACCTGCCAGTTGGACATTTACACCTTACAACCCTTCCATACACCAAATATACTAGACCAATTGCTTATAGTATCTGAGATATGGACTTGACCATCAAAACTTAACCTTGTTCACGGATCCATGAAATGAGGTCGAGGTCAAGTGAAAACTGTCTGAAGGGCATGAGGACCTTGCAAGGTATACACATACCAAATATAGTTATCCTATTACTCATAATAAGAGAGAAATTAACATTACAAAAAATCTTAACTTTTTTTTCCAGTAGTCACTGAACCATGAAAATGAGGTCAAGGACAATGGACATGTGACAGACGGAAACTTCGTTACATGTAAACTAAGCAAAGTTTCAAAGTCAATAGACCATGACTGAGGGAGCTGGGCCAAATAATATCCATGGTAATGAGATGTGCCAATGCTAATACAACTGCATACCAAATATCATTGACCTACCACTAGTGGTTCACCATAAACTAGACCTAATCACAAACTAATACATTGTTGACACCACTGACACCAGAAACAGCATACCCATGTCTCGCTTTTGACTCTGTCATGGCGAGACAAAAATTCCACGTAGGTTTGACAAAGTTATTGATGTCTAAAAAAAACTTGACAACATACTGAACCTAAATGTTGACACCACTGACCCTGACAACGGAATCTAGGATGCCTATGTCTCGCTTTCACAAAATAAATTTTGCAAGCTAGACAAAAACACAAATTCATCTACCTTTAAGGCCAAAACTTCTATAATAAGTGGTCTGACAGTTTTGACTCAAATGTACAAAAGGCAGAGCTCAACATTCTTAACATTTTTACCCGTGTCAGATTTTTTTTAATGATAGCGGTTTTCGAAATAATAGGCAAAACTTTCAATTTACCACTATGTTCTATTTTCAGCCGTGTCGGATATCTCGGTTGACAGGAGGAGTCATTGGACACATTTTTAAAACTAGATACCCTTATAATGATTGTGGACCAATTTGGTTATATTTGCCCAAGTAGTTTCAGAGGAGAAGATTTTTGTAAAAGTTAACAGACGATGACGATGAACAACGACAGACAATGACGGACGCCAAGTGATGAGAAAAGCTCACTTGGCCTTTCCGCCAGGTGAGCTAAAAATAGACGTTTCTACCATGATGATTGATTTGATCACACTGCATAGTTAATCATAGGGTCAATGGTAGTCATAAAAGGTAACCTTTAAGTAATCTCCTTCTGCCTGGAGATCAAACATGCTAAATCTGAGAGCCATTGTCCTTGTTTCTGATGCTGGTCGTTTTATAATCCATGTGCAATCAACATTTTCTGGGTAACTTCCTGCAACATAGCCTGGAGACTGGATGGTACCTTCTGTTAACATGTAAGTTATGTTGCAGCCTAAAAAAATCCAGGACAATTTAGTATCACATATAATATTACATCATTTGCGTATTGTAAACAGATATTTTTTTTAGGATGTTTTTATCACAATTAAAAATAGTATACGATAAACATTGTTCTGATTAGACTTTGCAATTGGATTGTTATTATAGAAAAACAAAGGATATGGGGTATCCATCCATGACACAAAATCAGTACATCCACGGGCATAAAAACACAAAAAGCAAAGGAACAGCGCTTTTATTACTGTTCTTTTCAAAGTCACAGTGAGGCCTTCAACAGGGAGCAAAAATCCTTTGCATTATTTGTATTCAGTTCGGCAAAATTCACTAAACTTTATATAATTGGGCTTTTTTTTTCATTCAACAATTGTTACAAATAATGAATTTCAATAAATCATTCCATTATCATACTGTTATTTAGCCAATCAGTGGTATCTAGAACAATTGGCAGACAACAAAATTTTTTATGATTAGAGGTTGAACAGGTGTACCAGACAAAAAAACCAAATTGGGAAACATTGTAGCAGACACAACAAAAAGCAACTAATGCTACATAATTTGAATAAGTCACCATTGTTAAAAGGAAATAATAGATCTTCAGATCAACAAAAATGGAACTAAAACTGTGAAAAAGACCTTCATATAAAAAAACTCTTTCTGGTTGGAATATTTCAATTGGCCACAAGAAATTTATTTTTAATTCATTGGAATTTTTCAAAGTTTTAATAATATACTGTAACGAAATAGAAGTTCATTCATAATATAAGTTCCAAATGGAAAAAGTATCCTGGAATATTATTTCCACTAGAATAAATATTATAGTATTTATTCTGTTAGGAATAAATGGTATAGAATATTTGTTCCAGCAGGAACAGATGTTATGACATTGTTTATAACAAAGTTTCTAATGGAACATCTGTTAGGCTAAACAAATATACATTGACACCACCAGTCAAATTACTTAAGAAAATGCCAATAAATCAATCAAACCTTGCCAGTATTTGATGTATATTCCTTTAGGAAATGGGGCTTCTTCTATTCCAGAGATCAGCATCAATCTAATGGACTTGGATTTAGAGATGTAATGTTTTGGTTTGAAGGCACTGACACCATCTAAGGTTGGGATCAATGAGATATCATCCTGATCCCACAAGTACAGCTTCGCATCTTTTCCTATATCCAGATTCTCAAACTGTAAAAAATATCAAGGTACAAGTAGCATATATACAGTTTGTTGTAGATTAACTGGAAAGTATTGCAATTATTTTTGCCACATATATTTTTTAAGGAAGATATAAACATGAACCTTGATAAAAAATGGGATCTTTTCATATGACAGTAAACTTTTTTCTTTGTGATACTTTAACTCTCTTTAAAGTAATATTTGTTTTCAATGTGTCCCTTTTGTTAATGAGCCTTTACTATAACTGGCCATTAAGCAGTTATATAAAAATCACTTTAAATGGACCAGAACATCAGACTCAAAAACGACATACTGTGGATTCATTTATTTTCGTGGGTATCAATTTTCGTGGATAGAGAAAAAAAGACGTTTCGTGGTATACGTAAATTCGTGGATCGCTGATTACAAAAAAAAAAATCAGATACGTAATTCGTGGATTTCTTTTTGATTTAGAAAATCATATAACCTCCTTGGTTTGATCCATAAAAAGATAGGAATCATTGAAAAAGTTTTGAATTGTAAAAATCCTCACTTGGTCATTCTAGGTTAAAGTGTTCATTGAAAACTTCTATTACAATAATGGGCAGAGACAAATTATTTGTTTGTTTTACAATTTATAAATTCTTGTCGGAATTTTATAAGGCATTCAAAACTCTTTGATTGAAAGCTCATTTCCCTAATCACGATATAATTAACAGTCATATAAGTTAAAGGTGTGAAAATAAATGTTCCTGTCATAAACAATATTACCTACGGGCAATATCCCCGTACTTAATTAATCCTATTGATTTTCAATCACCAGTAAACCAAACTATGACAACTTGCAGTTATTTTTCATGAAGAGTTCTAATCAATTTTAAAAAGTAAACTATCACTGATAGTCGATATATTTATTATTGATTTTATCAAAATACTTGTATCTTATTTCAATAAAAACACGTGTTATGTTACAATGTTTATCGATAGTCAACACTATACCACAACTGCATAACATAACCGGAAATAAACATCCGACTCCATACACATTTCTCAGGATTATTCTTCGTTGAATTCTTAAATTCGTGGTTCGCTGTGACCCACGAAACCCACGAAAATTGGTATACCACGAATAAAAAATGAATCCACAGTATGTACTGAACAATATATCAAGTTGCACATACATACAGTAGATATTAATTAAATGCATATGTAACCAGAAACCTCACTAGATGTTGCTGTGCCCTTTACAAGTCAGGAAACTTGTCAGTGGTTGTCATCAGTGATATCTTAAGTGTTTTTTTTATCCTTTAAAGAATTTGAGATTCATAGCAGATATTTGCATTGGCAGTCTCTGGTAAATTTTTTCACAACCTGTCTCAATGTAGACAGAATTATTGCTTGATATATTGTAAAGACACCTCTGAATGCCTGTTGCAATTATTTATGTTCAAAAGGAAAACACTATAAAGAAACTTACTAGCACATCCCATAATGTGCAAAAATGCGGCGGGGTTAAACATATTACACACTCAAGTACCTACACTTGAGTGTGTAAAAGAACCTGTAAACTTGTAAGTTTGCTTGTTTCCAAGGTGAACTATGATATAAATATTACCTTTGTTTGCTACCAATTGAAACTAACAATAGTTATTGTCAGCCAATCAAATCATGTAAAGGTAACAAAAGGATTCACCAAATAAACTGTTGACAAAAAGATATGTCCACTTGTGTTTTATTTCAATAACAGTCTGTGCCAAACGCTGTCGGTCCAACGGTCCTGACCAGTGACCAATGAAATAGACGCAGGTCCGTCAAATCGTATGTTAATTCCGGTCTGTATGTCTGGTGTTTTGACAGTCTCGGTTCTGCGACTTATTATCATATTTTGATATGAGTGAGCACAGATCGATAGAAATGAAAACTTCCAGGTCAAATGTTTACTCTGAAGTATGTTCAAGGGGCCTATCCCCAGTAGGCCCTTGAAATGTAACATGACTGACGAGGGAGGCAATCATGACAAAAAGTGGAAATATGCAATTTTTACCATGAATATCATCATAAAACAACACAGTACATTTAAAAACATAAACAACACAATAAAAAGCTTAATTAATTGATTTTTTTTTCCAGACTGACAAAAAATCTGTTCGGTCAGACAAAACCTACAACACTGTCTGACCGAATGTCAGACAGAAACCAAAAGAGTTTGGCACAGACTGCAATAATATATTAAATGCAAATGTTGAGATGTAAAAAGAAAAATTTAACATGTAAACTGGAAGGCCAAATTCTTATGAGGACAAAAAACACTAACTGACAAGTTTCCGAACTTAAGAAGTGAGATTAATCTGGTTATTAGTATCTACTAGATGTATATATGTATGTGCAAAATGATATCGCTTTGTTTCACTTTCCAGATATAATGTTGCAGGCTTGACAAAAAATCAAAATGATTACCTCCATAGTAATGACATTGTTTGTATCGGCAGTAATTTTCCATTCAAAAACTTTCTCTTGTGGGAGGTATCCAGTATCATAAAAAGGTGATTTCAAATGCTGCACTGAGGTTGTTGCTGTTAACATTTTCACATCATTAAAAACTTCTGGAACATCTAAAAATATTGATTCATTAGTTAGCGGTACATTGTACTATAAAATCAGTGTCAAACTGGCAGCAAGGTATCCATCCAGTATCTTGATTATATTGTGATATAGGATATAGACCTCTATTCTAGATATTGCAGGATATATTTACCCATTGTTTCGATATTGCAGGATATATACCCATATTCTTGATATTGCAGGATATATACCCATATTCTTGATATTGCAGGATATATACCCATATTCTAGATATTGCAGGATATATACCCATATTCTAGATATTGCAGGATATATACCCATATTCTAGATATTGCAGGATATATATATATATATATACCCCTAGTTTAGATATTGTAGGATATATACCCATATTCTAGATATTGCAGGATATATATATATATACCCCTATTCTAAATATTGCAGATTAAAGACCCCCTTTTCTAAATATTGCAGAACATATACCACTATTCTAGATATTGCAGGATATGTATCCCCTATTCTAGATATAGCATGATATATAACTCATTACACATTCCAGATATGGCAGGATGTATACCCCCTCTTCAAGAACTAGCAGGATATTTAACACCTCTTCTAGATATAGTAGGATATATACCCCCTATTCAAGATATGGCAGGATATATTGTTACGCTGCCTCCCTGGTGCTAGAGTCGGCCACCAGAGAACACAGGGTCACAAAGAAAAAGAGAGTAAAAGGTTCTATAAAGTGCAAGGTTCAACGTCCACTGTTTACCGTCGGACCAAAACACGTTACAGAAAGGGAAATCGTATACTTGTAGTTATATATATATTCTCAGTTGTTAAATAAAATATCTGAATAAAATAAAGTTTCATATTTTATTAGCACTAAAATAAACATCGGCGGAGAGAATAGGTCTGGCAGGCTCGATCACTTGTCTGGTCGGGTTCCCGGTAATGGTTGGTCTTACAATAGACAAACAAACTTTTGATAATAACAAGCTACTAATATATAATTCAACAGTTAAGTAACAAGGTTGTCACTTATTTGGACTCTTTCAATAATCCCAATTTAAGGACATTATCACCATTTCACAGTATTCAACATCGACTTATCATCATAAAACATCTAAAACAAATATTAAATATAGAAAGCAACAATTTTTACCCCGTCACTAACAACCTTACTTAGGACTGTCATTAACCACCTTAGCACCGTCCTCCACAACTTTATTTATTACTATCACTAACAACATTAGCACCCTCACCGGCAATATTATTTAGTCTCGTCATTCATAAAACAATTCCTATCGCTAACAAACTTAATCACTGTCAATGGCAATATTAATTAACACCACCACCCACAACCTTAGCACCGCAACCCACAACTTTAGCACCGTCACCGGCAACCTGATTTAGCACCGTCACCCACAACCTTAGCACAGTCACCGACAACCTTAATTTGCACCGTCTATATAACTACATTATAATTAGCACCGTCACCGGCAACTGTATTTATCACTGTCACCGGCAACCCGATTTAGCACCGGCACCGACAACCTTCAATAAAAACAAAGTTAACTTTCAACGCTTGGTTGTGATTATCAGACACATTTTAGCTTCTATTCAAATTTGATACTTTCCAACTTTGCCAACCCAATCCGTCGGTTCTGTTGTTGCTTTTGCTTTTATACTTCCGACTGACCAATGGCAGAGCTTGTTACATATTGTTTACCAATCGGCAACCATGGATCACACAAGGGAAATTCCCGTAATGTTGATATTATTTGTAAATAAAGGCAACAGTAGTATACCGCTGTAGTAAACATGGATTGATCTTCATCAATAAAGATGGGTTTTGACTTTAAATACATAAGTAGATCATTAGAAGAGTTTTATTTGAGTTTATATTCTAATAAGGTAACTACCGCGAAAATATGGAATCAGTACGTGAAATAAAACTTCTTAACAAACTAACATACACAAATCTGTCGTATTTTTGAAACAACAGCCAAAATAACAAATTACAAGTCTGACATTACTTGCAAGATTAGGCATCTCACTAACATCTATCGTTTATCCTCAATAATTTCAAGAAACTATACAGACATAGATTTTCAATAAAAAGGGGGGAAGGCCGACCCCCTATTCTAGATATGGCAGGATGTATACCCCTATTCAAGAAATAGCAAGATATATTCCCCTGGTTCTAGATATGGCAGGATGTGTACCCCCTATTCAATATATGGCAGGATGTATACTCCTTTTCAAGAGATATAGCAGGATATATACCCCTTATTCCAGTGTATGACACAGCCTGTCACCCGGTCTCCAATTGCGACCAAAATCTAAATGGGGCAACCAGAAACTTATATTTTCTTCTGTTATTTTCTTCTTCTTCTGGAGTTTGAGTCGTTAAAAACAGTACATCGCTTTTTCTATTAGTCTTAAACGCCTAAATGATCCCTTTACTTCCATCGATACTCTCAGAGGTTACCATAAAACTTGATCTACATGACGTACCATCGGTTTTCTCTGTGGTTTTTATGTTCCATCATGGTGGAAAACAATAAAGGTTTGGGTTTTCTTAAAAGAATCTCCAGTAATGATTAAAAGCAGTCATCAAAATACACCAAGTAAGTAAACTAATATAAAGATATATTCGTTAAATAATAATGATCCAGACTGCCAACAATTGTGTAACACTACGGTTTGTAGATTTACTTTACAGTTACTTTCTACAGTAGGCTAGAGATGGTGTATGGTTTCATTTCTTTGCACATTTTCCTGGGGGAAGTGCTGCCCAATTTTTTTTTCAATCTGGACTTGTCATTTTCAGCCATTTTTTTTTAAAGGAGGGGTTTCATATTTTATTAATTTTAAAGTTAATGGTGATATTCATTGAAAATACTGATGCACCTCATAAAGGGTAAACAGCTCTTGATTGGGGATCGTGCTAAATTCAACTGAAAATACTTTTGTTCTTTTTTTTAACACGTACTAGCAAATTGATTCTTAAAATTTGTAGGTATGAGCACTTTTGAGAGACAGAATATTTATATAATTCAGAGTAACGATTACTAGGTGGTCAAGCAGCCTAACTCTAAAAACATCATGAAAATTGGTAAAGAGATGGCCCACATACCACCAATTATAATTCATGAATATTCATAGATTCTTAAAACATGTAAAAGACTAACTGATTCTACCTAATAACTTAGTCGATCATATTAAACTTTGAATTCTTGATTGTCAGATTTATTTTCAAATATATTCATCTCAATTCACAAATTCTAGTCTTGAAATTGTGCACTTCTATTGATCATGTTGATTGTGCATGTATTTAGTTCATAATGTGAACAAATTATTTTTGTAGATTTGATCCATTGCCTGCAATCAGATTGTGGAATGCCTGTGGACTTAGGAAACCTCTGTATATGGACGAAAAAGAGAGGGACTTTATGAAGGAAGTAAGCAGAGCTTTGAATACCACAATATTAAAATGAAGCAGTTCCGTCTCAATAGGAGGATTATATAAGAAATGCAAAAAATTAAATGGGTGCAGAAAACCCATTAAGCCTTATATATATCAACAAATATATACAGTCGACAATCGTTATGTCGAAGTCAGCTGGATCAGGGAAATATTTAGAGATCCCTGTAGTTCGACTCAAACGAATACCTGAAGTTGACAGTTATGTGTTTAATTAAATTCTGCGCAATTGATTTGATGTGTAGTCATGTGATCGGTGGTCGTACAAAATACTGGAAAACTTGAGAATATGATATTAAAACATTACTAGTAAACAGTATGAGACTGTTTGGTTTTGGGGTGACCTCTTCCAAAAGAAAACCTGATTAAACGGGTGATACAGCGGGGGTGATTGATAAAACGGCTTAACGCAGCACTAAAGACAGGATCTGCCAAGGGCTGTTCCATTGAAACATACATGGTACCCATGGAAGGCACTTTAAAAATGGAGTAACCACCTATAGAGGCAAATTAAAATTTCACGTTAATACATTTCCACTATGCAAAAACAAAGATGACACCCACCCATAGTTGAGATTTGGAAGTGCCTTCCCTGGGTCGCATGTGTGTTTTTATGATACAGCCCTTAAGACCAAACATATGACAGGGAAAAACCAGAACGTAAATTGTTTCGACACACAGTGAAAGGGAAAGTGCCCTGGTTCGCTGGATATAAAAACTAAAACTTGACCCCATAAAAAATCATAATGAAAAATTACCACCAGCATCTAAATATCTTGCCAAAAAAGTTGTTAAAAGAAACTGACCCCAAGTTTGAAGATGTTGAGCAGCAATTGAAGCCAAAACAATTAAAAAGGTACAAAGTGTTGTGTAACACAGAGCAGTGTTCACCCCATGATTTTATGATAGAGCTGTGGTAAGCGCATGATATTAGATTGATTCACCGTATGCGTTTGCTACATGATGTAACATTTGTACTGCCATGTTGGGTATATAGTATTAAATAGACAAAAACTTGGTTTTTTTTATACATATATTCATTTGCAGAAATGGAAATTTACATTTACATTTTAGTTAGCATTGAAATTTAAAATGCCAAATAATTGAAGCATTTTGATTTGAATACCACCCCATCCCAATTTTTTTAAAGAGTAAGTATTTTCACAGTAGGTATATCATTTATTCACTTTTAGTTGTTTCACATATATTCATATATTTCAATTACAACTTCATAATTTACTGACAAATATATAAAGAAAGACTTAAATAACAAAAAATTTGATGTTATTTCTTACTTTTATTTTAAGTGGATATTATACATCTTTTAAATTTCAATCAGCATGTACAATGGGTAAATTATTTCATATCAAAGAACAAAAAAGTACCCTTTCCAAAATGAGTATCTTATTGTAATTAAAAAGACATTTTAAAAAAGGCTAAAATATTACAAGAGTCACCTGATAGAAACCTGTTTTTTTAAAGGAATAAAATTCTTCTTTTTTCTTTCTGAGGTGGTTTTTTCAATAAAGAATGCTATTTGTCAATTGAAATATTAATAATTACCAATACTAAGATTTGTTATTGAAATAATTGCCACTAGAAAATATATGACAAGATTTAACAATACTGGTTTTAGTGCATTTCCCCTAATTTCAACTTCCTGTTTTGACAATGGCTGAATGTTTATATGAATCATTAAATGAATGCAATTTTAAATCCAAGCAATCCTCTGATAATATTGGATTAAAATAATTTTTGAAGTACTACCAATTGAAAATTGGATAGCAAGCTCGGTATATTTATATTCATTTATGCAGAATTGTGTTTCGTTTGTCCTCCATTAGATTTAGTAAATAGCGATGCAAGGACAAGTTTTCATCAAAAACAAGCTTGTAATGATGAAGCCCTGAATAACTTGAATATATTTGATAAAGGAATACAGATCCAATAATTAAGTTCTAAACACCAAACAGTAATGCAATAATCGTTTATGCTTCAAAAGTGGTCAGAGTAAGGATAAACTTTTCTTGAAAACTTTAGAAAATATTTCTTTGAGTATATTTCCACACTTTTCATAAAATTTGGTTCTTTTCATTCTTTTAAGTTAAAAACTCAAGAAAGATATGGGTCTTTAAGAATGATGCCATTTTGTTATTTCATTGAACTGGCCCCTCCAATATTTGACATCATTACGTAAAATAGATTAAACAACCAGACGATCACATGATTGAAATTGTACAGGTAAACAGAGGAATTTGAAAATTGTAAATCAATAGCGCTGTGTTGTGATTGGATACTGCTGCGGTCTGTCCCAATACCACAGTGCTGAAATGCGATAGTGCTGAATACCGAAGTGCTAAATCGGCCTGGGAAGAACACTGTGACAGCGTATAGTGTTGGTGAAAAGGAGAAGCCCAGCCCTCAAAGTAGCTTCTGAAATGAAGTTGCCAACTGGCCACTAGACATGAAAATGTAGTGGCCAACTCTAAAGTTTCAGTGGCCAGGAAATAATTTCAGGTTGCCTACATTTTTTTCTAACTAACAACCCTTGTGAAATAAAAGTTTTAAGTTTTTGTTCTGTGTTTTTATGTTGTCGAGTGTAGAAAATAGTTTGTATAAATCAACTGTAAAATAACCACATGATTTATTTTATTTTATTTCATTGTACATATTGTACATGTTTTATAACAATCTGCGACGTTTAGCGGTTGTCCGAAGCCCCAGTCTACATGGTCTAGTAAAAATCGTATCAGACTTGTGCAGAAGCACAGGTGATTGCCCCATCAATCAAGTGAACATCTGAAATCGTTTGCGATATTGTAGCCGGTATTTTATTGAATCTATCAGAACATGTTACAAAATTGTCACTGACCGTGTTTCATCTGTGTACCGACGAAATCGAGAACGAGGCTTGACCATGTGCTTTCAATAAACACAATCTATCAATGCCAATGGTTTTCTTTCTAACGGCACGTAATAGTCAAAGTTATGACTGAGTGCAAAATACAAAGATAGTGTGCCATTTTCAGTCAATGCTTACAAATGACCTACAATTACCTGATGCAATAAAGCGCTGACAAGATCAAGCTTAAATCTAAAGGACGCTTGAAATACAGTATAAATTTGAGTTACAGTCAAGAGCTCAGACATTTTTTTAAAACCAGACTCTGATCAGGGCAAAATTTCCGAAAATTAACGGTCGCCAGATCTTCAATATTCTAATAGCCCAAATGGTGACCAGTTATGAATTTTTGGTCGCCAATCAGCTTTTAAAGTCACCCTGGCGACCATTTCAGTAGACTAAAATTGAGGGCTGAAGCCCGATTCTGACTGAATTTTATTTAAAAAATTGAGAAAAAAACGAGGGTTAATGTAGTAAGATATTATGAGTGCTTTGGAATGGTACGCATTTTTCTGTTCTTATAAATTGAATTTTGAATAAAAATTAGACCTTCTAAGAATAAAGGAGGACCTTTAAGTATTTTTGGTCAAAGGTCCTGGGGCTCTTTTCACAAAAAATCTTACGACTAAAATTGATCGTAAGTTAAACTGAAATGTTCACGACTTACAAGTGTTTTTACTCGTAAGATTTTTTTGTGAAAAGGGCCCCTGGACCTTACATTGCCTTAAGTAAATTTTAACCCCTGTTTATGGACACCTGTCTGTTGTTGAAGACAATATGTTTACTCTAGATGTCTTTCGGTTATTTTTATTCTTGGGTTGCTGTCTGATTGACATATACTCTACATCCTCTTTTTATTTGGTAAGGATGTCTTGCAGTGTTTTGAACTTCAGTTCTCCTGAAAGATCAATATATTATGTAATGGAATAGTCCACGACTTCTTCAATTAAAGAAGAATGTGTACGAGGACATGAATGCCCCTGCTCAAGCTTGCTTATAAAACGTGAAAGTACTTTTTGAGAGCATTTGATGTCACCACTACTGCGGAAACCAAAAAATTTACAATTTTCCAAGTAAAGGGGCATAACTCTAGAATAGTAAGTGACCCACAAGGGCAAAACTTAATTGCCCCTTTGCCTTCAGACAGGAACATAAAAAGACTCAATTCAGCTGGGTTTCAGAGGAAATTACGGAAATTTTTGTCTTGTATCAATAAACTAAAACATTTCAGATGGCCTCACAAACCTGTTGTCCAGGAAATTCTGAACCCTCCAGATTGTATCACTGAGCCATCCGTCACCAGTCTAATATTAAACACATTGTCTGAGGAATAATATACTGGCTGATCATTTACAGTGCCTGTCAACTTGGCCAAAAAAATCTCTCCCTCTCTTCCACCAGTCCTAAATTCCATAACATCAGCATTCTTTTCAGTATTGAATGATTTCACCTGTAAAAGATTAACAAATATCTTTTACTCATTTTTATTGACAAAAATACTAACTTAGAGAACGTAAACCAATTTTGGGATGTCCTTACGGACGTATAGATGGACGTACAGATGGATGGATGTACAGACGGACAAGTGTAACACAATGCCCCCTCCACTGTGGTGGAGGCATAAACAGTCAAGATATCTTCAAAATGAATCCCTGAAAATTTAAACTATGAAAGCCTTGCAACTCATAAAACTCTTCATAAAGAGTTTGGCCTCAAACCTAATAATGATAACAAATCATATAAAAAAGCTGCCTTTTTTTAAATTCTGTATATCATCTTGATAGTATTGAAAATAAGGCCAGACATTTTTTATTGTCTGTTTAACAAGATCCGCCGACTCACTTTTCCAGATTTCAGAATAAAAATAAAAATAGTGCTTCTTACTTTTATTTTTATTTTTCCCACTGACTGTAACGAAATTCTCAGAACAAAATAAAATCTGTATAAATCGGTAATATTTAATTTTTACCATGTCGATGAAACAGCAATTTTCATTTAAAAGTAAAGAAATTCAAGGCAAGAAACGATATATTTTCTTAAAAAAAGATTTTTAAGCCGGTTGCCTGTTTTTCATACAACACGAGAGCGTACATCAAATCATTCTAACTTTCGGCAAAATCAGTTATTACTTCATCAGAACTTGATGAAATTAGCCTGAAGTAAACTTATTATCCATCTATTGCATTAAAAACCGTCATATTCCTTTCCAAATAGCGTATCAAACATCGTTTATTTTTGTAAATTTTACTTTGTCCGACATTTATATTATTGGGCATATTATTCTAAAACTGCGGATCGGAGTCGCGATTTCATCGGAAACGGACCCGCTATGACCGAATTCCGGATTCTTGCAATAATGACTATGGACGCATGAATGGCACTGCTGATAGACAAAAAATTATCCAAAAGGAAAAATTACGCATTCCACACCCATTAACATACTTTTGGTTAGATCTTCTTGATGTATATATATTTCCATGTATATGCATTGTTTCAATTTATAAATTTATTTAACATATAATAGCCTGTATGACTTTATTTCAATAGTTAAAGTTTATTATATGAATGTCATGTAGAAAACTGTATGTTGTATCAATTATATATGTTATGTGTACCGGTATATGCCCCCCTGGGGACCTAATTTGGAAAATAAAACTTATCTTATCTTATCTTATCTTATAAGTTAAATTTGCTCAAATCTGGTACTATTACACCAGAGACATATATCAAGTCTCAAGTTTTAATTAATTTTTTTTTATTAAATTTAATATACACATGTGTATATTTGTCTCTGCATACACTAAGAGGTTCCTGACTGGGTGACAGGTATATACATATATAGTGTATATGCAGCAGGTTAATATATTTGCCTTGTGCCATGGATCTATATTTGTGGAAATACAGAATCAAAACATAGTTTTTATGTTCATATTAATAGAAGGGTTACTATGCTGGTCTGTTCTCATTTCATTGTATTTTAATAAATTCTAAAAAAAAAAAAAAAAAAGGTCACTTATAACGGTATTATTTTTATTTTTAGTGTCGACTGGACCAATTTTGCACTTTTATTTTTTTTTTTTTATTTCGTCCCCTCGACCCTATTTTTTTACAAATTTTCTTGTTAAACAGATAAAAAAAAAGTCTGGCCTAATACTGAGTTATGCCACTGCACAGTTTCTTTAAATCATTGGTTAGTTTGGTAATTTAAACGAATATTTCAACAATAACCTGCCCTGTTTGCATTACCATTTTCATTAAACCCTGAAATCAAGGGTAAAAACAGTAATTTGACATATTCTATATATACACATAATGAACATGTGAACTAACACTGGTAGACCTATTTGGAAAAACCCCACGATTTTTGGAAATTTGGAAAAACTCCGGTGTTCTTGGAGAATCTGCGCGAAACGGATAATAATTAGAGGTTCACCGTAAATTTGCGTAGATTATGCATGTCATCCGGAGATTTACCGTGTCGGCGGGAATTAGCCGTTTGTCTGATAAAACTGGTGTGTATTGAGTCATCAATAGAACCAGTGATGCGTGAGCAACGGTTATTAATAGATCGTTGTATATAGATGTTTACAGAATCCTTTATTAGTGAGCGACGGTTACTAATAGATTGTTGTATTATGGTACAGATTATGATATATAGATGTTTACAGAATCTGTTAAAAACAAAGTAACTGTAATCGTTTGAGATATAAGGAATTTTCAAAAATATATCATAAAATTTTTCTGTAAATTTAGATAGAAACAGATTATATATATCTCGGGTTTAGATGGTTACTTTTTTAATAAAAAAATCATTTAAATTACATTTGCAAATTGGAATTTTTAATACGATCTAGTTTACCTGTGTGATCCATTAATCTTTGTTGATGAAATGCACATTTATACCTCTAGGGGTTGAAGGCATATATAAACAAAACAATATGATTCGATTAGTTAATAACAAGTTGCGAATTGTAGTCTGAATGTGTATATATGGTCCGTGGACACAGTTATCATCCTTAGATTTTCGTTGTCTACAAATATAGTCCCTAGTGTGGACAGTTTGATACAGGTGTCAACATTGAATAAAGCTTTACATTTCGGAAGGCCAGGGGAAAGATTTAACCTTAGTTGATACCAGGGGTCAACCGGTATAGCAGTATGTTGGTAATACACCAACCCGTCGTTGCATAATATGTATATGTTGTATTTACGCACAATGCAGTGCATGCAAATTCGATTTCGCAAACTCGTGGGTTGTCTTTTAGACAAAAAAGTTCCATTTAAAAGATATGAAAGTTGCTTACATGTATACCTCAATGCACTTCTTGTAAACTAATCTGTTACATTTCGAAAAAAAAATTAGTTTTATTTAAAAGATTGGAGGGTTATTTCACATGAATAAAAGTTCTTCTGATCATTATTGTTTTTTCAATTATTTTTGAGAGCGCGATCTTAAAACTAAGTTGGTCCTGACATGCATGGAATATTTGCCACTGGAAGTTAAGTAACCAACAATCAATCATCTTAAAAAAATTAAATATGCCTGAGCGATAATATTCTTTTAAATTTTAATGTGAAAGACAGTTTCGCCATTTATTAGATTGCACTTTAAAGTGTATATACATTCTGGGATGAGATTAATTTACTTTAATTACCAAAAAAAAAAAGAAATCATGTTACGTTTCTTTTAATTAAAAATTATACTGAATCAAATGTAGAGGACATTTTAATAATGAAATAATGCACGTCAAAAATATCTGTAATCAACTTGATCTTAAACTTGAATTCGCTCACAATAGAGAATGTTAAAAATAGCTAAGATCAATTGTGTTGACTGCATGAGATTTTCCAACGGCGGGAAATATCATGTAACTATAAACACAGGTGATGTTATTGACCGATTGTGGAATGTCAATTTAGGGTTAAACTTGATGTGTAATGATTGACATTATTGTGCGCGTTAAAGTTGAGGCTCTAGAAGGTTCATTTCAATAGATAACCAAAAATCTAAAATCAAGTTTTTTTTCAAATCAACGTTTAAGTTTTGAATTTTGTGGGAGGGGAAACTTTATTTTATTTGTTTTTTAGGGGCGAAGGGGCTTACCATAAAAGTCTATAGGAAAATTGAATAAAACAATTTCTATAAGGTCACAACTTGTAAACTAATGAAAACAATGATAAAGCGACTTGAGTAACTGTTATAAGATTGCAATTACATGACTGTTTTTTTTTGTTTCAGGAGTGGGAGTGTGATTACCTTATTATATATACTTGAGATGTTCCATTTTCAGCATTATTTTTTTTTTTAGTTTAACTTGTTCTCAGTGGCGGATCCAGAATTTTTTATAAAAGGGGAGGGGGCACTAACTGCTAATGAGGGGACCCGAGCCAGTCATTCTTAAATGATTCCCTTTATAATCAACATTTATTTTCCAACAAAAAGGGGGCGGGCACCGTGCCATTCCCCCTATATAGCCGACCGTGCAAGGGCTGTATAGCCAGTCAAGGTTGTTAAAAACTTCCATATATTTTTATAGCCAGTCATGGTTGTTAAAAACTCCCATCATCCACATTCCCCACTAAATCCGGCTCTGGTTCTATTAATTGCATTATATCTTCTTCATCATAACTGTATCGGGAGCATTCGAGTAAGGTAGCACTCCATAGATAGGTGTGTAGTTTCGCATGTATGACACAAACAGTTGGCCTAACGTATTAGAAGGCCAGGATTGGAAGATTATTAAACATTTGGTGGCTCAATTTTAATTTTATTTTCTAACTGTGGAGTGCTACCTAAGCCGTGGTCTGGGAAACCCTACCCAATTTTTAAAGGGTGTTCCAAAAGCACATTAAAACTTACATTTCCAGCATTATACAGGTCCTGAGGTACAATTTTTGGGGGAGGAGATTTCAATTGCTGTTCGTTTGGTTACTTTCCTGTTACAACGAAATTTTCGTTTTTTTTTCCATCAGATTTGCCCCAATTGTCGATTCTGTTAACCCCACCTAGACCCTCACAAGCAATGTTTTGTCTTTTTTTTTTTACCACAAATATTTATACTTGTCAACAAATTAGACAACTTATTTAATTAATTTTTGTATGTCGAGTATAACTTAATAATTTCTGAATGTTTTTTATATATTTATACCACTTATTTTATAATCAGAATTCGCTAACTTTGTTATATTTCTTTCTAAATATAAAAAAAAATCCTGAATACATGTACCCCAAATCCCTGATAGGCTCCCTGAAACACCATACCTATATCAATTTAATTAATTCTTAAGACAACCATTTAACTTCAAAGGGGGTGGGGGTGACTGTTTTTTTTTCTCATAAAATCATATTCTGATCCCCAATTTGATGAGAGAAAAAAATATTGTGGTCAGGCAGATGACAAAAAAATATACTGAATTCCAGATTTCCCCATCCTGTTTATTTTGAAGAAA